CATGATTCTAACATTCGTATTCGTATTTATATGTCAATAAAAATCTTGTACCCAAAACTCTGGTTTCACATACGTGAGCCTGAAAAATTGTGTGGATTAGAATAGTTTTTATGTGAGTATGAATCTAAAAGCTGTGAGTGAAAATTCTTGTGAGTACAACTCCAATTTCTACAACTATGAAGTCTTCTCCTCTCTGTGGACACGAATTCAAGTTTGTGGGTACGAGTAAAAAAAGTGTTGAAGTGACATCACACGGGGGAGGATTTGATCTGGCGACTATACCAAACGCTACATGTTCCAAATTCAAAGATGGCTGACGACGGTGTTCCAGGTGGAGCTACCAGCTCCACTGAGGCATCACAGGTGTGGTATAAATGACGTGTGTATCCAGTATTTATTTTACAGAAAACAATACTATTTACTATCAGAAGACTTCATAGTTGTAGAAATTGGAGTTGTACTCACAAGAATTTTCACTCACAGCTTTTAGATTCATACTCACATAAAAACTATTCTAATCCACACAATTTTTCAGACTCATGCATGTGAAACCAGAGTTTTGGGTACAAGATTTTTATTGACATATAAATACGAATACGAATGTTAGACTCATGCATACACCTTTTTGACAGTTATCTTGTTCAATAGTTACTTCAACCAAGTCTCTTGAACACATATTACATCTAGCTTTGTTACTAAACCTTCAGTAAAACTCTCTAATTCCTGCCCATGTGCAATAAGAGATATTGCATTCCACTGGAGTATCAATACCATGAAAAATATTAACCATATCCTTCCTGACTGGCTCTTGCCTGGAGCTCATCTCTAACCTCTTCCCAAGCCACTCCTACCAGTCCAAGGTGGTGCACTCCTGCTTTTACTATCAGCTGAATCTTTTGAGTTTTAGACTCCACTTCTGCTGTACTATTGAATACATCTGCGATAAATGTTACCAGCTTTTTCTTCTCAACCACTAAACCCTCCTTAAAATCGCACTGGCTCCCCCGACTGGATCCCATGGATGTCCTCTTTGACCCAAATCTTGTCTCTTTACTTGCTTTGCAGCTTCAGCATAAGATAATTTACGTTCCACTCTCACTTTCTCACACTTTCCACACTTCAGTAACAAACATATCACTTTAAGTGTTAAGAACATTAAAGTGGCATGGACTTATTCCTGCAAACCTCACTACATTCCATTCTCCACCAAAAAGCACATAGAATTCAACTTCCAAATGGAATAACAAAAAGAATCAGCCTGATGAATATGGGGTGTGTGTCTAATGGAGCAATGAGACAAAACTTTTACTGCCAAGAGGAACACCATTCAGCCAAGCATCAAAGTGTCTCCATGCTGCTGTGGGTTTCTTTTGCTGAAGCTGGTTGTGTGACTGGTGCCATGATTTTTACCAGGATGGACGCCACAATCTTCTGCAGCCCCACACCATCTCATCTGATTTAGCTGCTAGAAAAGCCCCAGGTGAACACCTATTGAAGCTGGATAAGAAAGTAAAGAGTGTGCAAACCTATCATCAAACATTTGCATTCCTTTTTTTTTTTGTTTTTTTTGCTTAACTTCATCCAATACGCACTGGTACTGATACTGCAATTGTTCCTGGAGTAACCCTGAGTGGCCGTGTCAGTCCTAAAAAATCAGTGGCAATACAAAAAACAAATAATATTAATGAGCTGGACGCCTTTGCACAGTAGGAATGGGCTGAAATGACAAAAAAACATTTATTAGAGGTCATAAAGAATATTTATATTAAATGTTGCCTCCAAGTGTTGAATAGCTTTGTTTATGAGCCTTTTTTGGAAAAGGTTTTAAATAATATGGTCACAAACATGTAGTTTTACACTTTGTTTGCCAGGGATTTAGTTTGGGTTATATATTCATGAAAAGTTATTCCCATCACTAGATGGCCTTGCAGGTTAAGGGGAGTTGTGTTATGTTTGTTTTCTGCCAAAAAAAATTATTTTAAATCAACTATTTATTTTATTAGTCTCTTAAAATAAAAAAAAATGTTTCCATTTGTTTTCAGAACCTTTATTAACATCATTTTATCCAAAATGTGACGGAAAAATATAATTTCATTCAGCAGACAATGATTCAGAACAAATACTCAGAGTGTAGCAGCGAATGAAGGCCCCTGTTCAATGCTGCATATGTGGACATGCTATCAGCTGACTCAGTGGGTTCCCTTAGTCCTCTGCAGAGTTTGTGTTTTACAGTCAGCTTCTGAACAGCCTGACATACTTATACATCATCATTTATACATACATATCTGATTTGCACCATGTCAGTCATTCCCGTTGTATATACAAGGCAGTGACTGACTGACTGACTGCAACTTCCTCTCCCAGACAGACTTGAGCACATGCTTTCAAAACAAACATACTGATGATGATATTTGAAATTGAAATATCTGTAGTTTTGCTAACTGTGCTTTGAAAAAGTCGATCTCACATGTGCACAAGTTTTTGGTAAACTACAAGGGGAACACAAAACCTGCAGAATATAGCACTGACTACATGATCATCTGTCTTTGAGTACACCGAGTTATCAACTCTAAGTCAAAGAGACTCCAGAGCTTTGATTAAGTTAATCTAAATATTCTCAACTAAAAGGCTGAACAGTAATGCAACACAGCATCAGAAAATGCTACCTCATTAGTGTGACAGGTGACTGGCGACTCAAACAAAGACTCATTGTCAGCATTAGGGGGCAGGAAAGTGACCATTTACGAAATAACCAATCCTGTGTAAGGGCAATAAGTATTCTACCAACAAGCCAGGGATTTTTCTGTTGTGTGCTGCTAGTGGTTAACTTGTGTGAACGTTTGTTTGCCACTGTACTTCCCTCTATCTCAATGACATATCAATACAAACATGCAAGCAAGACACAACAGAAAATGTTGGTACAAGACAGTATGTTTGAGGTGGTTCAGACATTACATGATTTCATTACAGGTTTTGTCTGCCAGAAACAGAAAACGCTCATGTATGATGCATGCCAAAAGTTGGGCCCAAAAGGAACTTCATCACATTCATAAAGCTGTGTGCATGAGTGCATGTACACACGTCTACAAATTTTCTTCACAGTGAAGCTGAAAAAGTTTAGCCATCAGCTGCAAAATTAAATCACTGTCATGTCACATCAATAACACTGAGCATTACCTTAAAATGATAAATGTCAAGAGGTTGGAAGAGATTGGGCATCTGGTGAACAATCAGTTCTTGAAGCTGATGTGTTTGACGCAGGAAAAATGGGTGGCGTAAAGACATGAGTGACTCTGACAAACGCCAAATTGTGATGGTGTGACAACTGGCTTTCACGTGGATGTAACTTTGATACAGACCACATACACTCCTGCATCACAGTGGTGTCTGCTGATGGCAGTGGCCTCTTTCAACAGGGTAGTGCTCCTTGCCACACTGCAAGCATAGCTGAGGAATAGTTAGAGGAACATGACGAAGATTTCAAGGGTGTTGACCTAGCCTCCAAATTGCAAACATTTGAACCTGATTGAGCATCTGTGGTTAAAACAGGTCAGATGCACAGAGGCCCTACCTAACGTTGTCCAGGACATACAGGATCTGCTGCTAACATCCTGCTGCTTGATACCACAGGAAACTTTTCAGAGGTTTGCAGAGTCTCAGCCCCGACAGGACAACAGTGTTTTGGCAGTGCAAGGGGGACTTGCACAATGTTACGCACGGGGTTTTAATGTTATGGCTGATCGGAGTACACATTTTGATGAGTCTCAGAAGTTTTATAAAAAAATATCAGAAAAAGTAAAACTGTAACTGTTAAAATATTCATACCATTAGGATTATATTTCGTTAGAAATCTACAAATGCTATGTCTTACTGGGTATGTGTTGATGAATCGGAACCTGACACTTAATGGTTTAAAACTGGATTAGTAATGACTCAGGGAACTATTGAAACTTAAGTTCTCTTGGATCTTTTAAAATCGAGGGGTGTTGGGAAAAATTGATGTCCTACAAGCACAAAGAAATGTTTATACCTCCTGCCTGAATGTTGATCACATTGTGAACACATGATTATTTGTATGTTATTGTATTATATTGTACTGAGAGTAAATCTGTGAGAGGATCATTCTAAAATCTGGCTCCTTTTCATTTTCTTCACCATTAGGGCTGCAAATATTTCTGGTATCGTAAATGCTTGTAAGTCTGGGTCAGAATTTCTGTACAGGTGCGCAAATTCGCTCCTCAGGTTTGTTTTAATGAATCTTAACTTCACTGTGAGAAGTGGTGAATGCTTATCCTCAACCCTGTTTTGTGCATGAGCAACAGTTACACACTTTATCTTGTGAGAGTTCTTTAACAGTCAGATTACAAAAATATCATACAAAGTGTTTTTGTTAAGTATAAAAAGAAATCCACTTTAATTAAGAATTTGATTTTTTCTTTTAAAAACATTTTCAAGTATCAAATAATTGATCAAGCTCTAGCTGTAATGCATATATTGAGTATATGGTTGACAAAATGACAGCATGTCACAGTACACAAACACACTGCTCAAAACCAGAGGCTGCACAATAAAGCTTTAGATTCTGGAAATTATTAAAATATTTGGATATACCTTTTATTTGTCTCTGGGTCTGCCACACACACTGGTGTCAAACTCAGACATTTACGAACAGACCAAACCCCTGAGCACCAAAGATATAATATTGCATCAGTAACTGCTGAAAAAAAAAAAAGTTTCTGCAGACATAAAAACATGATTCTGGATTACCTCAGAGGCTATGGCTCTGTATCCACAGCTGCAAGTCCATTTGTGTTTTCTTGAGCGACTAAATCACTAATATGGCTGTGTTCCACGGTCTGGTGATCACAGGAGTCTTCCATTTGGTCTGCTCCCTCTTCCTCTGTCTCCTCTTTACTTTCTAAAAAGCCCTGCTGTTCCCACAGTTCCTGGCCATCGCACACCTCAATCCCAGAATCCCCTGTGAAACGCCGGTACCTGCCCGGCGTCAAGTCCTTGTTTGGGTTGTAAGCGCTGTGAGAATGGGACTGCACGGCGTCTGGAGTTGCAGGGGGTGCTGCATCAGCATTACTGGCTATAGAGATAGCTAAATGGGGGCAAGTAGCCTCCTCCGGTGGGTCCGTGGGTGGAGGTGCTGACTGGAGAGGGGTGTAGGGAGGAGGTGGTGTGGCTGGACGGTCAACTACCTCTTCATAGGCTGGCAGCAGGTAGTTTGGCAAAAATCCTGGAGAAGAACATGATGCAGACAAGCATGAGACATGGCATGTATATCAGGGTCTCAATCATTTCCAGTCAGCCAGTGACATTTGCATTTAAGGAGCAGGATGCTCAAACACTTCAGTGAAAAGTTTTCTGCTAATCAACACTCTTGTCCAAATAACAGAAAAAAACTTGCTGAAACATTATTTTAGAGTAACATCTGGAACAATATTTGTATATAAATACAAATGATGTGTAATGTAAAAAGGAGTGACTACATACGTGAACTACACAATAATAACAATACTATTACCATTATTGTTATATGACACACCTAACCTCACTGGTCTGGAGGAACAACTGGAAGGACAAACAAAAGCTTTCACTTTACGTATAGACAATTGAGGACCACATTAAAAGACACATGGGAAAATAGGAACCTTTGAGTCTTTTAAACCATCTTCAGTCTTATCTGTTGTACAAGGAGCTGTGAGATGTGAGGAAAAGCTGTACCTGGATCAGGTACAGGTGGGCGCTACCTTCAGTACGACAAGTTGCTGCTTAGAAAACTACAATATTTAATTTCCATTCTGTTTAGAGATATGTTTGATGTGTGACTGGTTATGTGAGTGGTCGAGACTAACTGTGTATAGAATATGTAAAGGCAGCATGCAAGACACTCCAGCTGAAAAGCAACTTACTGAGATAGAGGGGAAGGTGAGAGTTGTTGTGAGCCTCTCTGTAGGCGATGAGGTTGATCTCGTTCTGCCGACGCTGTTGCTGGAAGCGCTGCTTGGAGCGCCAGTGTTGACACACACAGCAGCACGTCAGGATGATGATCAGAGCCCACACAAGCCAAAACCCTGTAGGAAGCCCACAGTGCATGTACGGAAACACATTTAATACATAGCCTTACAAATGATACAAAGTAGAAACAAAAAAAATCTGATTTAAATCTTCTATATAAATTTCACAATAAGACCTTATGTACTTACTAGAGTGGTATACATTTTGCTAATTTTATTCTGAACACATGTTTAACACATTTTGTACTTTCACAAAACATACTAAACGATATATTACATACATTTTGTATATTAAACTTATATAGAAAAAATGCATGAACATGGTAGTAAAATCAGTTGTGAACTTTCTCAGTGTTGGACCTTTGGGCTGTGTGTATCTGCATTCAATGGAATTGAAATGAGGAACTACCACATCGACTGGTAGACTTCACAAAGATGGAACAAAATGCAGGAAGATTAATCAGAAGGTACAGAACAAGCTGTAGTACCACTAATCAGAGCCACAGTGGCAATCTTTCTAAAACAATGCCAGAGAGTGCACTACTTGCACAATCTAGCACTGAAAAATACGTGTACGTGCCTTAGACTCAGCACAGGGGTTGTCAGTGGAAATCAGAGTTTTCATGACAGTTTAGACAGTGTGATAGCTATTATGTAACATCAACTTCAATGGACAGCATCCAAAGCAAAAAGCCTTTGCTTGCGCTTTGACTTAAAAGTGCAGAATTTAACTTTGCTTTGAACATCAGAAGAGGTAATACTGGAAGCACACTCTTTTGTTTACGGTTATGATGGTTATGATGGGGACTGGACAGTGGCTTGGTGGTTAGCATTGGTGCCTCACAGCTAGGAGATCCTTGATTCGCATCCCAGCCTGGGCCATGTTTTCTTTGTACCTGAGTGGGTTCTCT